GCACTGTATATCAGACATTAATACAATTGAGCAAGTCCAGAAGTATTTCATGAGAAGAGTCCTCCACTCTTCTACTCGCAACAGAATACCCTACACCACCAGATTTGAGATTTTGGGCTTGGACAACCTAGAACTATGCCGCCTACAGTTGAACTTAAGCATAGTACACAAAAGTATCTGCTACAATGTCCTACCAATCAATGACTACTTCAGCTTCAACCTCAACAATACAAGAGCACAAAACAGATACAAACTCAATGTAAACCGCTCCAAATTTGATTGCAGAAAGTACGACTTCAGCAACAGAGTGGTCAATGCCTGGAATGCACTACCTGACATCCTCAAACAGCAACTCTTTTAACCTTAAACTATCTACAATTGACCTCACCCCATTCCTAAGACGTCTGTAAGAGACTTTCAAGAAGAGATTGGACTCCCATCTGTCAGAAATGGTTTAGGGTCTCCTGCTTGGGCAAGAGATTGGACTAGATGACCTACAAAGTCCCTTCCAACTCTGATTATCTGTTATCTGTTATTTGTAACGAGCGTGCATAAGTGCACAGTCATTCCTACTGTCCCTATCCTATTCTCACCATTTATTCATACCTATTTCCTATATTCATACTCATGTTTATTCTTATACCTATTATTTTGTAAGTGGTTTACAACTCAAATAAATTAAATTAAAATAAATAAATAAATAAAATTTGTAACATTCCTTCCTCCTCTCCCTCTCCCCCCAAGGTTTTGTGGCTAGGGTTAGGGTCGGTCAGGGTAAGGCAAAGCAGCCAGCCTAAAATCAGTGAGACAACTTCTGCAACTAAGAACAGACTTGAACTCATGTCTCTCCAATCCTAGAGAAACACCTGAATCTCTCCTCAACTATTGTGGGGAAATCACTATCATATTATAAGCAAATTGCACTCTCTCACCCAGAGCATTTTCAGAAGTATGCCAGTCAAGCATCATTCTAATAATCACACACAACTATTTAATAATACCACCACTGCTTCATCTTATTTGCATTAGATTGGCTCACACTGGAAGATTTTTCCACTATAATCTTGCCATGCGAGTATTATTATTCTTCATTAAAGATAGTCCATAGATGTCACCGAATGGTTGAACTGCAAATATCAATCAACATTTTTGCACACTCCCCAATAAGAAAAATTGTTTTGGGTGCATTTCAGATGGTGCTCTGTGCACAACATTTTATGTGTAGGGGGTAAATAGTCGAATCATATTTTTGTTCAATGAGTTTAAATATCTGTATCTCCATCATAAGGAACAACAGCACCCTGTGCATGGATGTTTAAGAGGAAAAATAAAATAATTTCCTTTTGTATCACATCCATGAAGTCTGCATCCAGTAAATAAACAGAGCAGAGTCTTTTCTGTATTTTATTATAGTATCCCAGAAACATTAGGTGGCACAAATGCAAAACTAATGATGATGCCACCTAGGACTATAGGAACAGATCACCACAAATCTGATTGCTGAAATTTAACATTTTCAATATACTTCCCCCCACCCTTCCATTTTACTCATATAACTCCAAGTTATCTGCCCCAAGCAATTAAATTTGGACAGTTATCAAATGCATGCAGGACCACATTTTGACTTGACCCTAGTAAAAAAAAAAAAAACTTGACATGCTGATTATCCGACAGAAAGAAGAACTGAATTCTCATATTGTTCCTAATCCACAAGATGGGATCCAGTTTCCCAAACGATTAAAATTCTGCCGCAAAAGTCATCCGTGTTTATTTTATTTTTTTTAGCAAGTCGAGTGTTGTGGTTTTTTAAAAAATAAAATCCCAAGGCACCTCGTGGCTAGAACAGATGCACAACAAAAGCCGATTTGGGTTTCTGACCAATGGGTTGAATTATTACCATAAATTAGAATATGCAAAAAGCATGCAGGAAAAACTTGGGGGCGGGGGATATCCGCGGAAAAAGAAAAAAAAAAACCAAGCAGGGCATGAGGCCGGATCTTGATACTTTACCAGAATCTCCCCCGAGGGCGGAGTGGGGAGCAGCGGTCACGTAAAAGGCCGCCACAGCCGCTCCCATCGCGCCAGCCCAACTCAATGGCCCCATTTAGCAGCGAGAACGCGCTCCCGCACGCAGCTCCCGCCTGCGGGCGCCACTTCCGGGTTCGGTGGGGAGTGGGCGGGGCCCTGCTGGATTGTTCCATTTTCCCAATTTCGGGACGGAGAGAAGCGCCTTCTCTTCCCGCGGTGGTTGCGTCCAAACGTTCCAGCTTACTCGTGTTGCGCTCCCCCGCCTGGGGAAGGTCAGCGCTGCAGGATATCGGAGAGCTGGGACGGTAGCTCCCCTCCCCTCCCTCCGATCTTATAAAAAAAGGTAATACCGATGTAAGACTTTGGATCTTGCTTTCCGCGCAGTTTGTCGAAACCCCGCTGGAAGTCGACACGTGGGAACGCAACACTGTAACCGTGAAACCTGGAATAGCACTTCACACGTTACGGAGGCGCAAAGTTGGACTAATTGTTTCAAAGGTCTTGTTTCAAAGCCGAAATGGGTTGGTAGGGAGTTCCGTGACCCATCCAGTTCCGTTTGTTAAGGCGCACAATTTTTACCACCGGAAAAAAAAACGCTGCAGAAAAACCTTGAAATTCGTATAATTTTATACACGCATCTGTGTGTGAATAGTGAACGTGGTGCTCTTGACCCGTTCGGTTTTGCTGCAATTAGCTAACTGCAAAGTTTTTGCTTAATGCTTTCCTTGTTTCTTGCAAAAATCTTAATTATTTGTTGGGTTGCAGTAGATGTGGCCTGAAAGGTGATTCTGCAAATGAGTCCCTCATCTGCTACATAGATAGAAATAATAAATCCAGTAAAAAGATTTTTAAATCCAACAGGATTCTGCCATGGAAGTGCACATGGGATCATATTTAGGAATGGTGGCTTTTAATTTAAAGAGAAAAATGGGATGCCAGATGCTACCAACCTTGGTGCCTCATGGACTCCGGAACTGAATGGAGGCTTGTGTCTGAGGCTCAGTAGCTATTGTGGAAGAATTGAACTCAACAGGGTTCTTCTTATATTCTTGGATAAATTAATATCACGTCCATTTTGCAGAGGTGGGTAGCTGGGCACTCACAAAATCATGGCAGCTCTTCATATTGAATGGCCTATTCAGATCATGCAACAGAGGGATGTGATGGGAAGATGGTTGGGTTAATTCTACTTTGAGGTTTACTGTGTTGCCCAAGTCACCAATGCCTGCCCTTTCCTAATGTGCTTGTTGAATTTAGAAAGCAATCCAATTTCATCACACTGTAGTAGCACACAGTCAAAATACAAAAACAAAAAAGAAATCAGAAACGTTTTAAAAAGAGCAAGTCCTCAAACAGTAAGGACCCTGTCATCATTCTGAGTAATGAACTCAGGGAGTCGTGACTGACACTTTTTGCAGATTCAAGAGATCCTTTATTGAGTACGTCATATCGGCACTTAGAAAGGTGAAGCTAGCTCTAAATTATTCCCACGCTCAGGGATAACTAAATAAGATCTCCCCCCCCCCTTGTCCCTCAGGTCACATGGGCCAATCAGTCCAGGTGTTGGTTCCCCCTCAACTTTGACAAATGTCAGTTGAAATTACCTTGGTTCACACGACGGCGGGGAGATGATGTGATTAGCCCACTGAGGCACCACATTCCTGAGTTTATTTTTATTTATTTAATTTATTTATTCCATTTATTTAGTTTAGTTTGTCAAGCGTGTATGAGAAAACAAGTATAAGTATGAAAACAACATATAAACATATAAGTATAAATTGGTATAAGTATATGCATAATGAGTACGAATAAATGGATAAATGGGAACAATAGGACAGGGATGGTAGGCACACTGATGCGTATATGCAACGCCCCCTTTCAGACCTCTTTAAGAATGGAGTAGAGGTCCACAGTAGACAGTTAAAGTTTTGCGGGTTTGAGTTTCCCCTTGAATGGCAACCAAGAAACAAAGCAAAAGTAAGCATGGCTTTAGCCGAAGTAGTTTTGCCGGTTGACAGATCCATTCTAAGACAGCCTGAAGGATCGATCATCAGTGTTCACATGGACTTGGTTATGGCGGGAGTCCTAGAGAGTCTTCAGGGAGATGCTGTTTCAGAGGGCTGCCGCTTCAACAGAAAAGGCCCACTTCCTGGCTCCTGACAAATTAATAGGGCTCAGAGCACAAATTGTATAGGACAAGCAGAAACTTTTGGAGATAGGTTTCCTCTTGGATGACTAGGCCCTATGACACAAGCAACTTTTTCTTTGTTAACCAGCACTTTGAACTGCACACAAAAGCCAACTGGCAATCAATGCAGTTTGCAGAGGAGTGGGAGGACATGAACATAATGTAGCATGCCTATCAGGGCCTACCCTGTTCTATTCTGGAAGCTTCTGAGTGGTCTTTGAGGGTAGCACTTCACAATATTCCCTATGTGACAGGATCAAAGATTAAGGGACCATCTGGAAGGTTACTTGTGGCTAACATTGCCAGACGTTGAACAGGTAAAGAAGGACATTGAAAAAGTGAAGAAGTGGGAGGGGTGAAGGAGGACACAATAACGGTTTAACTTTCTCAGTATCTCAGTAACAAACATTACAGCAAAAAATTGCAAAATAATTTACTCGAGTCTACAAGAAATTACATGTTCCAGTATCAAGAAGACTAGGTTTTTTTAAATTGAAGTATTTTTCCAACAAATCTTTATTTTCAAGAACCTGTGCTGGCAATAAAATAGAACTGACAAAAAAGCTTTTCAGAATTTCACAATAGAAACATATGATGAGTCCTGTGATCTACAGATTAAGTGATCACAGATTTAAAGGGGCTGGATGGAATCTGATCGTTGGAATCAGGAGATAAATAATGGAAATCTAGACTGTTGAGATGAGAGAAAGAAACAGACAATTTACAATATCACAATTCATAAAAGTTTGAATGATTACTGCTGTGAAAACTGTCCAAAAAACCCTCTGAAGATATTTTAAATGCTGGATAATATTTTATTTTAAGACTATGCCTATCAGTTGTAACCCTTCATGTGCCTTTGGGGCTGGGGTGCACTTTAGGGCATGAAAGTGAGGTTTGGGGGAGGTTACAAGATTCCATGAGTCTTGAGTTCAAATCTGGACCAGCATGGTGTGGTGGTTAAAGTACCACACAAGGAATGGGAACCCAAGTTGTAGTCTACCCTCACATGAAAGGTCACTGGATGATTTAGAGACAATCCTTCTCAATCCAAACAATCTCACACTAAGTTCTTGTTGGAGAAAAAATAGAACTGATTACTAGAAGTGATTACTGGAAGAGTCAAGCTACTCTCCAAATCACCTGAGGGCAGGGCAAGAAGCAAGGGAAGGAAACTCATCAAGGAGAGAAGCAACCTAGAAGTAAGGAGAAATTTCCTGACAGTGAGAAAAATTAATCAGTGGAACAACTTGCCTCCAGAAGTTGTGAATGCTCCAATACTGGAAGTTTTTAAGAAGAGATTGGACAACCATTTGTCTGAAATGATATAGGGCTTCCTGCCTGAACAGGGGTTTGGACTAGAACAGTAGTTGCCAACCAGTGGGCCGGGGACCACTGGTGGTCCGTGAGAAAATTTTGGTGGTCCACAGAGAAATGTCACCCCAAAAGGAACCCCAAAAGCAATTAATCCAGGTTGCACGGAAACACAAGGCTGCACCGCCCACATGACCCGCGGGAACACAAGGCTTGCATTGCTTGCATTGCAAACAACACGAGCTGGTGAGGGGAGGGGGGAAAGGGCAGAAGGGGGAAGCTTGCCCCACGCGCCTGACGCACGTTGCCTGGCCACCGGGCTGCTTCTTTCTGCTTCTGCTTTTGGCTGCACGCAAGGAAAGCAGCAAAGGTCTTTCTTTCTCTACTCCAAATTCCACCAGAAATGAGTCTTTGGGACCCTGCAAGGCCTCCTGCTCCAAGAGGCAACAAATCTCACAAAGACTCATTTCTGGCGGAGTTTAGGGAGAGAAAGAAAGACTTCTGCTGCTTCTGCTGCTTTCCTTGTATGAAGCCAAAAGTCTCTCTCTCTCTCGCCCTGAGTACGGAGCTGGAGATGGTATCCTGCGATCCCAAATAAAGAATGATCAATTGGTAGGAAACTGGGGTGGGGAATTTTCCTGCAGACTTTTTTTGAGATTTTCCAGGGTCTCTGGTTTGCGGGATTTAAAATTATGAGCTATTATTCTGTTCTGTTTATTATCAGAACAAATGAAGCATACACTATGCAGTTCCTGGGTGAGATATACATTAAATAAACATTAACATCAACTTTAACATCATAGCTCTCAGTCAACCTTACCTATAAAACAGGCATAATATTGTAGATAACAATTATACTAAACCAATTTTCACCTCCTAGAATCTGGAAGAAAAGGCTGTTTAGAGGATGATCACTGCCTTGCCCTGAAGAGATGGCTTGGACCATGCCAGAACAAGTAGGAAGTAGGAAAGACATGCTGTTGGATGTTTATTCACCATCACTACCCTCAGACTGACAGTCATTGACTCGGGCATGCACTTTGGGTTGCCCAGCCACAAGAGAAAATCAGGAGATTCCTTTAATGACACCAAAAGAGACTGGAGCCTTAAAGAAGTTCTTCATATGTTTAAAACAGGAGTCCCCAAATTTGGCAACGTTAAGACTTGTGGAATTCTGGGAATTGAAGTCCACAAGTCTTAAAGTTGCCAAGTTTGGAGACCTCTGGTTTAAACTCTATCTCTCCATCTCATCACAGAAATCTGCAGAGCAATGTTACATAACAATAGGCTGAGCTTTGATTGAGTTTCCCTCTGAGGAAGATCAGAATTTTAAAATGTGAAAAATAAATGAAAAATAAATTGTACCAGTGGCCATCTTGACTGTTTTCATCACATTCTGGTAGATTGTGTCTAGCCGCATTAGGCTTCTAAGATCAATCGTACATTGTTTGCTTGCCATGTAGACTGTACAGGTAGTCCTCGACTTAAAACAATTAGTTTAGTGACCAAAGTTACAATGGCACTGAAAAAAACTGACTTGAGACCATTTTTCACATTTACAGTCATTGCAACATTCCCATGGTCGTGTAATCAGAATTCAGGTGCTAGGGAA